CTATTGATCTTATAGTTAGGAAACCTCTTTGTTCATCATGTGTAATAGTAATTAGTTTTATTTCAATCTACTGTGTCTCAATATTGTTTTAATCTCATAGTTGGTAGGATTGTGTTAAAATTTTGTTGAAGGAAGAATTCTTTCTATTTTTCTGTTAATTTTCTAGCTAAAGGATTTGGGCGATAGTTGATGTTTTGATTTAATATTGTTGATTTTACTGCAAAATACAACAATATTTACACTGATTTATACTATGTTGTTGGTCTAACACATCCTCATAAGGAGGCTTTTATCACTTTACAATGAATGAATTATCAGCTTTCATAAATGTTGAAATTATCAGTTCTTTAGTATTTGTATCTGTTAGAGTATGCATTCACCAAATAGTTATGTTGTTTCAATGAAACATGGTAAGAAACTAGTTTTTATCACCTTACAATGAATGAATTATCAGCTTTCATAAATGTTGAAATTATCAGTTCTTTAGTATTTGTATCCGTTAGAGTATGCATTCACCAAATAGCTATGTTGTTTCAATGAAACATGGTAAGAAACTAGTTTTTATCACCTTACAATTAATGAATTATCAGCTTTCATAAATGTTGAAATTATCAGTTCTTTAGTATTTGTATCCGTTAAGAGTATGCATTCACCAAATAGCTATGTTGTTTCAATGAAACATGGTAAGAAACTAGTTTTTCCTCTTGTTGAGGATGGTTAAGTTGTGAGCAAAATTGAGTTTTTGATTTCAAATAAGTTTAGTGCTCTTTGATTTACATATATCAAGCTCTTTGGTTTACATATATCAAGCTCTTTTAATGAGAAAATGTTTTTTTTTCCACGTTTTATATGGTGAAGACGATTCATCTTTAACAGGAGTGAAGGTAGTTTTGGACTCTAATATCATCCCTAATACAATTTTTTTTAGGTTTATTCTATAACATTGTAAGTGATATCATATTCATGCCCCATACAACTTTTCTTTAAGTTTTAGAAGTCTATGCTTGAGATTTCAAAGGAAGTGACCCCACTTCCACATTAATATATACGAGTCTATTAAGAGTACTCTAGGTATTTTATCCTAGGTATGTTAATCAATATAAAGTCTACGTTTCATTAAGAGTTTATATTACCTCAAATCTATTCTCATATCACTTCACAACTTGTTATTACACATTGAATTTGATTATTTTGAGTCTTTTAGGAGTTATCATTATGAGTGATTCATTGGTCTTATGACAAGCTAATCCTTTTGTCAAACGACAAGTTTATAGTGTGCACATGATTCACTCTAACAACTCCTTTAGCTAGATTTTCAATGCATGTCTTGATGTATAGAGATGTTGTTTGGAAGAGTTGGCCTTTTCTACATTATTCCTTGGATGTAAACAACACCCAAGTTTTGCCACAGGGTTTGTGAATGTGACAAAGTCTGCCTAAATAGTTATTAGTTATTAGTTCTTGATGAACGATTTAGTACTTCATCTTTAAGTAGACGGTGGAAGCAACACAGTCAAGGATTGTTGCGAAAGGTCTTCCAAGATGCAGTTATAAACAATTTTACAAGGAACCTTCGTAACTTGAATGTTTACCGTGTTGGTGTCATTTCCTTGGTAGAAAGTTACCGTGAACTGTATGAAACCCCAATGCAAATTATTAAGTCATTGAATGCTTGCAAATCAATGTTCATTTGAGGTGATGATTTCTATCTCTTTAAGCTTAACTTCTCAAAAAATTTGACGTACATAATGTTACACAAACTTCTGTCCATCAACGAGGATCCTTAATACAACAAAGTTTTCCATGGTGAACGTAATAACTAATAGAAAAATCTCATTGGAAATACCACCCACCTTCTCGTTGTCTTTAAAACTTAAAATGGGCTGTTCTAGCTTCTTATCAGCCAATGTCTTTTCCTTCTTATCCGCCGCTTTTAGTTCTATGGTATTTCTCTTTAAGTGATGTTTTTTGAGCACCTAAATTCTTCTGTGATAAAAGCAATGAATTGATAAATGTTAGTGAAAATGCATTTAAAATAGTTTGTGCTAACAAAAATTATAACAGGACAAGTAAAAATTATTGTATGCACAAAATGCATTTAAAATAGTTTGTGCTAACAAAAACTATAACAGGACAAGTAAAAATGATCGTATTCATAAAAATTGTAATTATTTCGTACAAGGACAATATGAGTGAGTGTCCTTATGAAAACATTACAACGAGTTAACAAATATAATGATAAATACGATTGAGTTTCCATTTCGAATCATTTATACCTATATGTAATATATTCCATGCCTGGAATCTATAATGACCCTTTTTAACTATCATCTTTTTCAAAACATGACTTTACAACCTTACAATCCTAAGTGCTATGGGTATTCAATCATAAGGCAATTCGCTTCATTGGAAGCAACCCTTCAGGTACTAAGGAGGTATCCAATCATAACTAACGAAGGTTTAATATAATAAAAATAAGAAGAATGTTTTTGCAAGACACGATTTTACAATCTTGTAATCCCTAGGTGTTTGGGGTATCCAACCGTGAAGCAACCTGGTTTGTCTCTAGACAATGGAAGTACCCAATCGCATATGAAAAAGGTTTTATAATAGATGAAACTATACTAATGGTCGTGTTTGGGGTATCCAACCGTGAAGCAACCGGGTTTGTCTCTAGATAATGGAAGTATCCAATCGCATATGAAAAAGGTTTTATAATAGATGAAACTATATTAATGGTCAAGACTATTCCTATCGTGACTCAAACAATCATTACAGTCCCATAATTTTATTAATCAGATGTGCAAATTTCTCTCTTAGGTCTATGTTGCTATCTATATAATTTCTCAAAATTCCATAGACTATAAAATATTAACTCAAATTTAATTATATAATTATAAAATAAAGACTATAAAATAAAGATTCATTATAGAAACAATCATGAAAAATCACATAAATTACATGTTTGGGGTAAATCATCTAAAAGAAACTTAATAAATAATAATAATAATAATAATAATAATAATAATAATAATAATAATAATAATAATAATAAAGACTTGCAATAATTTGGAATGATAACTAATGCTAGCCTCAGAATCTTAATGATTGAATATAGTCTCCAAATATATGCCCTAACACTTCTTTAATTAAGAAACTTCTCCTATTTTTAGGGACAAACGAGCCTTCCTACTCCCATTCCATAATCAATCGGTTGAATTTGAACATGTTCTTCACCCCTAATTTAGTTCATGAATTGTGGCTATAAATATCTCATTGGGATTTAGTCCATGGATTGTGGTTATAAATATCTCATTCTTAGCGGTTGGGAGAGAATTATTTAATATTTTTATGATATATTCATACATCTACAAATAAAAAGATTTCGTCCGATACAATCTATTATATTATATTGTATCTTTTCACAAATACATGTCATAAATTTGGAAATTTTCTAAACAGTCAATCAAATTATTTTTATACACGCATGTGCGCGCGTACACACGCATAAACTCTTAATTATTGTATCGTGACTTAGGTTAAGATAGGATAAATTTAGACAAAGTAAACAAATTTTTGGAGTAAAACACTAATTTTTTTAGTGAGCTTTTTGAGGCTTAATTATTGTTCATGAGCTATTTGAGACTTTTTTTTTTTTTTACTCATTCAGTTTTGCTTTTTTTCTTTTTTCTTAGGGACCTATTTTCATTAGTTTTTTTTTTTACCGTCTCTTTTTTATCGTGTATGTTCTTAAGAACACCGCTCTAAATTTAGAAGATTTTTTTTTACCGTGTATGTTCTTAAGAACACTGTCCTAAATTTAAAAAATTGTTATTTTAGAGTAACATAGCTTCACTTAAGATTTGATTTCTCATAACTATCAAACTTCAAAAGATATACAACTATTATAAGCCATTTATGTAATTCATAACATTTTTAGTCAGTTTAAAAATAACGAAAGAGCTTTAGTCTCAAAGAGGGTAGAAACAAATATATTTCATTTTGCTCAAATATGACTTGTTTAGGCATTTGAAAAATTGAAATATTTTTTTTAGCTAGATCCCATCTTTACTTGTTATCACTCCCTTAGTCCTTTTTAAACATTCATTAATCTTAAACATTTATATTAGATACCTAACTTCTTTCACAATAAATTAGTATTGTAAAAATAAAGAGAAAATTTTAAGAACGCAATAAAATCTGATAACTTAAATACTTTCATTAATAAGAGAATGAAATTCTAAGTACTTCTTATCAAAACCAATACAAGTAAAAACATAACACATACAAATACTAAAAATGATACCAAAAAAAGTAAATTAAGTAAAATAAAACTAAGAGAAAAAATAGAATTCAGAGTAGAGTGAGACATCCAAATTACATATGGTTTGACTTATTGTTTGTGGATAATAGGGTAAAAAATTTCCATCTCTCTTTTTATCAAAATCAAAAACCACTTCCCTTTCCTCTATGGCAACAAGTTCTCTTTTCCTTTCAAAGAATGTTGCCATCTTGATTTTCGTAACTTGATAAATTTAAATTTATTGAAATTCTTGGTATTTCATTCTTTTATTTCTTGATAGTTTTTATCATATTAAACATATTATTTTCGTTTTGACAAATATTTTATTATCACTTTAAAAGGGCATAAATAGGAATAATTATTTATAAGAAAAAATAATTCATGTTCATGTCTAAGTAAGTATTTCATAGTGCAGTAGTTGAGATCTAAAATCAAGTCTCTTGCCTACTTTTCCATTTGGAAGCAGAAAGTGATCACACACCTGATTTCTCAACTTTTTGCATATGCTTGCTTTCAATTTCCCACTTTAACTTTTCCTTTTCCTTAATTGGTGGTACCAAATCAACAATTCATCTCCCTAATGAACAAACTATATATCTAATAACTATATAATAATTATTCAAAACCAAACAAAGAATTGCCCCTTACTATGACCCTCCTAATAAAAAAAAGGAGGTGAAGACAAAATAAATTTTCACTATACGAAATGTGAAGGCAAAAAGAACCTTTGCCTCTTACTTCTAGTAGGACAATTAGACACCATCGATGATGAAGCAATTTTGGTCACTGCTGATTTAAGGGACTGTTTGAGAGTGTTAATGCAAACATTCTCTTCACTGTCCTTAGAACAAAGCACCAATATGCTTTTGATTCTGCCACCAACACTTGCTATGTCTGCTTTAACTGTTGTAAGTCTTAGCCCTTTGAGGACTTGAATTAGTTCAGAGAAAAGTTCAGGTCGATCGTCGCAGCAAACAGAAGCTTTGATGATTATATTGTTCTTGAATTTGTCGACTTTGTTAGTGCTGGTTTCGTCTTCAATAACATGGTTGTAGTCTATTGAAACTTCGTCGATTTCAGTTGGAACGTTGATGACTCTGCTAACATCCATTGCTTTTCGCTTTAGGTCTTTGACATGATCTATTACACTCCCTAGTAAAGCTGCTTTGTCCATCTGCAAGTGCACAAATGTTAATATTATGCAAAGTATTAAATCACTGTCGCCTTGCGTTGCCAAGATCCTTATATTAGTATCTAACTGATGTCATAGACCAACACAGTCAATCTTGAAGTCACTTTTACACAGATAGAGTCATTTGAAATCTTGATCATCGGCTTGTTCCGAGAACATTTTCTAAAAAGGATGTTATGCATTTAATGTAAGTTTCTTCCTAAATCCTTATAAATGCATATTTGGATTGACTGTAAAATTAACAGAATCACTTGAGTGAGAGCCACAAAGTTTTGGTAAAAACTATTTCCTAGAGTTTTACAAACTCAAACTCCCATTGTGATTTTATCGAACTCACCGTAAATCTAAATACACACTAAGAAATTGATACAAAATTATTCATTGAAAATGTAATAAAGTTTATACAAAAATAAAAGACAAACAGAAAATGAACCGCAAATCTCAGTAGCACAATATAATGATGTGAATCTATGAGTTGAATGCAAAACATCATAATCAGATAGCTTTTCCCTAAGTGGCTAATTCCATTTTTTTTTCATGAAAAACATAACAAAATCTAACCTTAAAATGGCAAATAAAACAAACAAAAATTGTTCTACCTTATCAGACTTAGGAATAAGTTTTCTGAGATTAGCAAGCTGAGTATTGATTCTATCTCTGCGTCTTTTCTCTGCTTGACTATGACTCTTGGAAGCACTTGCAGCTCTATCTTCTAAACTTCCTTCAACAGGTAAAGGCCAAGAGTGAAACTCACTGCATTGAAAAGAAGCAGAAGAAGAATCGGAGATATTTTGAGGTAGAATTTGAGCAGGAAAGTGTGAACGATCAGTGTATTGAGACCAATTATTCCACTCAGAAGAATCATTGTGATTTTCCATATTCATGAAAATGGAAACAATTAGTTTTGTTTGTTGAATGAATGGTTATCTTTATGAGGTTTTTATTTTCTAGCAGAAACTACTGTTTATTGTGTACTATGCAGTGATAATAATGAGTGACCTTGTTCTTCTTATCTTGATGGTGATTGGTGTGATAAGCAATTACCTTTGATTAGTCAAAATGAAAATCGATTTTGGCCTTATCTTTGTGTCACATCATGGAGACATTTATTAATGTTTTTCTTTTCTAATGATAAATTTAACGAACTTAATTGGAGTTTTTGTAAGGAGAGGAAATAAAGAGCAAAAGAACAAGAATGAGGTGGCTTGTCCTCTCATAATAGTGTACGGACTGGATTATCTTCTTGTGGTTCAACTCAATCTTCATTGTTTTGTTGGTTTAGTTTTTAATTACATTTTTTTCACATGTCATTTTAATAATGTATTTTTAAATGATTTTAGGTAGTTATTTTGGTGCATTATAATTAATGGGGTTGATTGAAAATATGCATGTTGGTACTCTTTAGAGCATCTTTAACTGAGAATTCATTTTTGAGTTTTTTGTGAGACCTATTAAGTCACGTCAGCGTGAAACAACTCAATTAGTTTTTCACTCTAATGGTGCAATTCTGAAGAACTCATATTGAATCTCACAACTTTATTTTATATATTAATATTTTATTCCTATTAAATTTTATATTAAATAAATAAATAAAATAAATAAAAATTGATATAAAATAAAATAAATAAAATTCAAATTAAAGTTATAATTTAAAATGATAATTAAAATATAGTTTTGATATTATAAAATTAATATTTTAATATTATAATTATAGTTTTCATATGATAATTAAAATGATAAATAAAATTTTATATTAAATTATAGATTTCATATTATAAAATCAATATTTTAATATAAGAACCGTTGAAGAACGTTGCATAATTATATGCCGTTGAACAACATGACAATGTTGGAAACAACAAATATGGGTGCCATGTTGGCAAACCCACTTTAAGAACTTCCATTGGAGTTGGTCTTATAATGAAATATGATTGTCGGTGAAGACAATTAAAGTTTATATATTATTTTCAATTAAGGTGAAGATTGTTGGGTTCGATTGAAAATATACATGTTGAATAAGTTTCACATCGTTTAGTTTTGTGAATGGAGAGAGAGTCCAAGACTGTATATAGAATACAAGTTCTTTCAGGTTTCACATTACTTAGTTTTGTGAAGGAAGAGGGAGTCCAATGCTATATATAAGATTCAAGCTGTTGATTCCAAGAAGCACTTGTCAAAAGCACTTTAAGCTTGTATTTAACTTTCTTTGTTCTCTTATGCTCTTGTATTAGAGTGTTGTGAGATGTAGAGTGGGTGTATTGGGGCCTGAGTTAGTTGAGGGTATATTATGTGTTGTAACAATTTTCACATAATGTTATTCTCTGGTTGGAGTTTTCACGTTAATCTCTTGTGTCGTTATTGTATTTCTCTTTTTTCTCTATGCTTTGTTTGTTTTTTCCCCAACAACTGGTATCAGAGCCTGGTTTGATCCGGGGATGAGTGTTCTTAGTATACTATGTGATTGTAGTTTTGTCTGATCTTCCACATCAAAAAAGAAGGGTAGTCTTGTGAAAGAGTTGTTGAGCTGCAGTCACGAATTTCACTGTGTAGTTTGGGCTAGAGAAAATTGATGGAAGAATTTTTTGACTTGTGGAAAGTTCAAGTCAAAGATGTGTTGATACAATCAAGATTACACAAGGTGCAAAATTATGTCAGTGGTTGAAGAGCTTCATGCCAACAAGGAAGTTGCACCATAAAATTTCAACCTGGTTTTCGACATGTGAAATTCTTGGAGTGGTTTAGTTTCAAGTGAAATTTATTCTTCATGATAAAATATATGATTGTCGGCGATGACAATGCGAAATTCTTGAAGTGGTTTATCTTCAAGTGAAATATATTTTTCATGAGAGAGTATGATAGTTTTTAAAACTACGATTGTCGGTGAAGGCAATGTGAAAATTCTTGGAGTGATGTAGTTTCAAGTGACTATACTCTTTATGGTGGAGTATGATTGTCAGTGAAGACAATAAAATTTTATGTATTATTTTCAATCAAGGTGGAGATTATTGGGGTTGATTGAAAATATGCATGTTGGTATTCTTTATAGTGGAGTATGATTGTCGGTGAAAACAATGAAAGTTTATGTATTATTTTCAATCAAGGTGGAGATTGTTGGGTTGAGTTGAAAATATACACGTTGAAGAAGTCCCATTTTGCTTTGTTTTGTGAATGAAAAGAGACTCCAAGGCTATATATAGGATACAATTTCTTTAAAGTCTCACATTGCTTAGTTTTGTGAAGGAAGAGGGAGTCCAAGACTACATATAGGATTCAAGTTGTTCATTCCAAGATGCATCAGTCAAAAGCACTTTAAGCTTGTATTTGACTTTCTTTGTTCTCTTATACTCTTGTATTAGAGTGTTGTAAGATATAGTTAAATATTTATTTTGAAGGGTGTGGGTGTGCTCGGGGTCTGGATTAGTTGAGGGTATATTATGTGTTGTAACAATTTTCACATAGTGTTATTCTCTGATTGTCTATTGACAACGACCGTTGTTTTTTCTTCGGTTTTGGAGTTTCCACGTTTATCTCTTGTATTGTTATTATGTTTATTTTTTCTCTCTATGCTTTGTTAGTTTTTTCCCAACAATGATAACAATGATTTTATGGATTAGAGTAAATTTGATGGGATAAATGAATATTTTGTGGAAGTTGATATAGACGATTGTGTCGCTGATGTTGCAACACATGTTATGGCCAACAAAATTCATATCCATTTATATGTTGAACCCAATGTTGAACCTCATTATCCTGGTTTAAATAAAAGTAATAAAGCAAGTGATGAAGAAGAAAGTATGGAACATGAATAAGTGGACAAGTCATTGTGAATAAAGTATGTCTCCAAAATGAGTTTGGAAGATCCGCGTGATCATTATAGATTGAACCATGTCCAACAAAGTTTGGTTTCTTCTCTCGGACACACCATTCCATTGTGGTGTTTCAAGAGGAGTAAGTTGGAAAAAAATTCCACACTTTTTTGGATGATCATCAAAATTTATGCTTAAATATTCACTGTTTTGATTTGATCGAATGATTTTAATATTCGAGCGATATCAAATAATACATCACTACTATCCAATTGACGAATACATCATGTGATATGATGAAACCTTTATGTGATATTGATTATGTGTTTAATTACCCTTTTCCCTCATGTCTATAAGTATAAGGCGTAGACAATGTCATCATTGTCTAGTTCAATATTGGACCCTTAGACATTTATCATATTATGTAGGATGAGAAAATTCTATCTAGGCCACTCATTTAACTCACCATGATTTATGAAGTACCCATCAACAATATTTATTTCCCTCCTGTTACGGATAATGTTTGAACAATAATTGTGAGATATTGAATCAAACTCTAGTATGGTCGAAGGGTAGCTTCTTTGCTCGACAATTTGACATGATCTTAGCATCTCATCAAAGTCTGTTCACATGTTATGGTCGAAGTATGCTAGGAGTGTTAGCATGTCGAATTGGGTCTGTTTGTTATGCCCAATTTTTTAAGTTAGATTGTTCCTTAAGTTAGCTTGTATAATGGGCACGTGTGTAAAAGTCCATTATATTAGTGTGTTAGTTCTCTTATAAATAGCATGCTAATCTCTCATCTTTGACATAAGGGAAAATTCTAATTAGGGCGATAGAGGTTATTTGCTATTCTGTAACACTTGTAATCTTGTTTTAAAGAGAAAGTAAAGAATAACATTTTATAACCAATTTCATTGTGTTCTTCTTGTTTCTCTCTTTTCTACCCTTGTGGGTTTCTTACTGATCAAGAAATTGATTATACTTTGTTATTCTCATATCGTTTTTTATAACAAACTGGTGTGATGAGTGTGGAAGAGAATATGCCATCAACAAAGTATGAGATTGAGAAATTCACTGGTGTGAATGATTTTGGTTTGTGGCGCTTGAAGATGTAAGCCCTTCTTGTTCAACAAGGTTTGTTAGAAACGTTGAAAGGATCAGAGAAGATGGATGCTGCCCTAACGGAAAAAGGAGAAGAAAACGATGGTAAAAAAATCCCACAGTGCCATTGTATTGAGCCTTGGTGATAAGGTTCTCCGACAGGTTTCAAAGGAGAAAATCGCAGCTAGTGTGTGGACAAAACATGAAGGTTTATACATGAAAAAATCGTTGGTTAAAAATTTCTACCTGAAGCAAGCTTTGTATTCATTCAAGATGAGTGAAGACAAATCCATGGCTGAGCAGCTGGATATGTTCAACATGTTGATTCTTGATTTTGAGAATATCGATGTCAAGATCGAGGATTAGGATCAAGCGATGTTGTTGTTGTGTGCTTTGCCTAGATCACATGATCACTTCAAAGAAACTCTCTTGTATGGAAGAAATTATCTCACCTTTGAAGAAGTTCAATCAACCATGAATTCTAAGGATTTGAATGAACGAAAGGAGCACGAGCCATCCTCGACTGGTGAATGTCGCAACTGCGAAAAACAACCTGGCGGAAAAACAGAAGAGTCGCCACCGAGCGTTATTTATCCCTACGGGGGAAAGGAAAAGATCGAAGAAAACCTAAAAAAGTGAGAAGACATTGTCATTGCAACCAAGTCCTGGGTTCGGGAGTCGATTACACGAGAGGAAGGTATTAGCACCCCTTCCCGTCCGTTGTACTCAACGGGACCCACGTTTGCAGCTCTAATCAAAGGGTGCATTTATCTAAAGCCTACTGCTAACGGAAACTAAAAGGGAAAAACAAAAGGAGACTCGACAGGACTTCGTCATCCTAGGCCTACATATTCTCTCGCGCAATGGGAAAGTCAGAGTCAACATAGTTCGGAGGACTACGAGTGAAGGGGAAGGTTGCTCGCCAAGACTTCGTCGTCTTGTGCCTATGTATACTCATCTGGTATGAGGAATTA